TTCAAAAGACCATGAAATACATCAGCCTTTTTGATTACCTTCCCATCTTCTACTTATTAAGCTCTAATGTGCTTTGAACTACTGGAGGCTCCAGAAGCAGGATAAGATTAGGCCCCCCAAAACACCTTTGACAGTGATTCTGGTGACCAGATTTCTGTATCCTGGTTGTGCACAGACTGGAAAAGACACATTGTGTCTTATTGCGCATTTTTAAAACACTTTACCTTATTTAACCAACTCCTGACAGTGTCACGAGGCCTTTATGAGGTGGTTATGTGTGGGGTCCAACCCAGGGCATGATGTGTGCTAGGCAAGCACTCTACTGACCAGCTACATCCCCAGCCCCTGTATTTATAGTCAAAGCAAGGAAGCAAAGACTTGATGCAAAACATTCCACTCTGGGTCATGTACACAGGAGCAAAGCAAATTACAATAAAACAGGTCATTAGACACAGGGAGGGAATAGATCAGAGAAAAATTATTTCCATATTGTTTCATAGCTTGTAAGTTCTTAGTTCTTAGCTAAACAATGGGTCCAAATATCCATGTAAGCAGATAGCAAATGGTCCACTAGCCATCATTAGGCAAAATTACTACGGGATGCAGAGCAGGAAGGAGTTTGCATGTTGTGTTGTAAAAGATGTGGTATATAGGACCAGGTAAAGGTGCTTGCTGCCAAGCAGGATGACTTGAGTCCAGTCCCAGAGACTCACATGGTGGAAGGAGAGAACTTTCACCCCAACCAACAAAAAATAAATAACATAATGAAAAAAAGAGATGTGGTACACAGTTATCATAAACCTCAGTGGTTTGATGAAACACAAGAGCCTAGCCTGCTTTGTTTTAAAAAATACTTATTTTTAGCCGGGCGTGGTGGTGCATGCCTTTACTCCCAGCACTTGGGAGGCAGAGGTAGAAGAATCTCTGTGAGTTCAAGGCCAGCCTGTTCTACATAGTGAGTTCCAGGTCAGGTGGGGCTACAGGGAGAGCCTGTCTCAAAAAGACAATTTTAATTATTTTAAAATTTTATTTTGTTATTAGTACATGCATGCATGATATATATGGGGGCATATGTGCCATGGTATGCTTAAACTAAGTCATCTCACTGGCCATGTTTATTAATTTTTGATTGACAAGTGTGTATTTTTATGGGGTACAATGATGTCTTGATGTATGTATATACTGTCGAAAGATTCAAACAAGCTAATTAACAGAGCTAACACTTCACCAACTTATCATTTCAACCTCTGTATCAGAAGGAGTTCCAGGTTTCTAATTCTAAATTGTTTTTCCTCTCCTTTATAGAATTTTAATTTTAATTTTATTTTATAGAATTTAAATTTTTATAAAAATTTCTACTGGGATCCGAGGTTTAATTAAGAAATAGAAGCAGTGCAGCTTTTGTAAAGTAATTTGGTTGAACAAAATGAAAGTTTGTTTCCAAATGTATTTTTTGGTCCCTTTTTTAAATTTGAGAGTTTCACACATGCATGCATTTTGATCAAATCCAACCCCCATTCCCTCCTGTCCCCTCCCCTATCCCATCCTATCACTTCCCACCCAACATCGTGTGCTCTCTCTGCCTCTCTCTGTCTCTGTCTCTCTCTCTCTTGCCATTGAGTCTACTTTGCTCCCTGTATGTGCAGGGCCATCTACTGGAGTAGACATTAAGGGACCACATCCCTGAGGAAAACTGACTCTGTCCACCCTAGAAGCCATCAATTGCCAATAAGCTTCGCAACTAAGGTGGGACTTTATGAGCCTCACCTTCGTCTGTGCTGGGAGTTTGGGTGGCTCGGTCTTGTGCAGGTCCTGTGCATGCAGTCACAGCCAGCATGAGCTCATGTGTGCAATAGCTGTGTAACCTCTAGCAAATAATGTTTTGCTATAGCTATCTACTATCTCTGGCTCTTACAATCTTTACACTCCCTCTTCCAGAATGATCCCCGAGCCTTGGGTAGAGGGGCATGACATTGGTGTCCCATTTAGAGTTGAATATTACACAGTCTCTTATTCTGAGCAATTTGAGCAGTTGTGGGTTTCTGTACTAATTGCCACCTACTGCAAAACAAACTTCTTTGATGAGGAATGAGAGATGTACTAATCTATGGGTATAACTATAAGAACTTAGGGGGCAATTTAATACTATGTCCATCTAGCAAAGTAATTGTGTTATGTTCTCCCCTGGGTCCTATAAACTTGCAAGTCACAGATTTTTGACCCAGTTAATTGTGTCAGACATGAGTTCCATATTGTAGAGTGGGCTTTAAATTCAATTAGGTGGTGGTTGGTTACTCCCATAACATTTGTGCCACTATTATATCAGCGGGCATATCTTGCCAGGCCAGTCATGATTGTAGTTCACAGTGTTTACAGTTGGATAAGACTAAGTACTTTTCTCCCCTGGCAGCATAAATAGAACCTTTAGGCACCATGAGACCCAGCCAGCAGGAATGAAGCCTCCAGGTGCTATCAGTTTGGTTCTTCCATGTTCTGTCACTCAAGTGTGTGTGATCTTCAGCAACAGGGTCCTGCCATCAGATTCTGGAGGGTAACCAAGAGCAGTGGCAACAATCTGTAATGTGTGTATGGAGGCTTATGGGACCTCACTGACTAACAACTCCAAAAGAGGTAACCCCTGCCTCGCACTGAGGTTTATCTTTGATAACTGTGGTGTCTCGTAGAGACATTGTTCCCTGTTGTAGGGTAATTCCATTTAAACTCCTTATATATATGTATGTGTAAATATTTTAGAAAGGTTATACAGTAGTAGGCTTCCATATGATATTTTAAAAGAATTTTAGTATTATTTATCCCTCTCAAATTCCCTCTGCCACCCCATTTGCCCCTCCTCTTCTATTACTTCCCTTTCCAAATACATTTTAAATTTTCACTTCCAAACAATGTGTTTATCACAAGTTTGTTGGCATTTTTGCTAAGATTTATTTTTTGCTTTCTTCCCCCAGTTTTATTAAGATATCTTTTTTTGAGACAGGGACTCACTATGTAGCTCTAGCTGGCCTCAAATTCACAGAAATCCACCTGCCTCTGCCTCCTGAGTGCTGGGACTAAAGGTGGATTCCATCACACTCAGCTAAGGTATATTTGACAGTATTTATTATGTGTGGGCATATGTGCCACAGCAGAGCTCGGAGGACAGCTTGTGGGACTTAGTTCTCTCTTTCACTATGTGGGTTCCAGGGATTGAACTTGGATCATCAGGCTTGGTGCAAGTCCCCTTATGCACTGAGCCATCTTGCTGGCCTTTTACATTTGTACACACACACACACACACACAAATGTGTATATATAAATATATATATATATAATTTATGTTTTTATAGTATATACATTGATGTTTTGATACATACATATTGTAATGTGATTAAATCAAGAGAATTAGCCAGGCATGGTAGGTGCACGCCTTTAATCCCAGTGCTCAAGAGGCAGTTGGATCTCTGTGAGTTCAAGTCCAGCCTGGTTTACATAGTGAGTTCCAGGCTGGCTAGGGCTACAGAAAGATCCTGTCTCAGAAACACCCCCCCCCCAAAAAAAAATCAAGAGAATTAAAGCATTTCACTTCACATTGTTTTCTGTGGTGAGGAATTTTTGTTTGAAATAAATTTACAGAATTAAATATATGTTTATTATATATTCAGGTATTTAAAAATGTAGATGACACTAAAAAAGTCCCTCTCTTGTGGGCTTGGATAGCTTAGTGGTTAGGAGCACTTGTTGCTCTTGTAGAGGAACAGGTTTAGTTCTTAGAACCCACATAGTGGCTCACAACCATCTATAATTCCAGTTCCAGGGGATTTGATACCCTTTTCTGGACTCCATGGACACCAACCATGCATGTAGTGCACATACATACATCCAAGAAAAACAGTCATACACATAAAACAGAAATGAAAAGAAAAGTCCATTTAACTGTTTCATTCATGTAACATTTATTGAACACTTACTATGTTCATTGCTCTGAGTGTTGGGACAAAACGCATTGTATGTTTTCATGGACTTAACATTTTTAGCATTGAAACATACTATAGGCATGAAGTGTAAAAAAAAGTTAGGCTCTTTTCAGGGTTTTGAGGAGGAAACAAAGTAGGGTGAGGGGACAGAGTGGGAGAAGGTAGGGATGGGAGTGGTCAGGAAGGGCCTCTTGGTAGGCAACTTTGAGGGGCTTGTTGGAGAGGCCCAGTGATTCAGGAGAGGGCAGAGGGGAAAGATTAGAGGTTACAAAGGGAGAAGAGGCAGAGCCTAACGAATGTTTGAGCTTCATTCCTCTGAGGTAAATTCTGCTTTGTATATTTTATAGTAGATTAATTCCAATTTAATTACAATGAATTATTTTCCCTTACTCTAGGTAAAAAGTAATAAAGATTTTGTTTTATATTTTGGAGACTTCCACTTCTACCTCAACCTACCCTTTTTTATGAGAGACAAGGTCTCAAATAGCCTAGGTTGACCTTGAACTCAGTATGTAGTTGAGGATGACCTTGAACTTCTGATCTTCCTGCCTCTACCTCTTTATGTTACCTCTTTCCTCTACCTTCCAAGTGCTGGGATTACAGCTGTGTACCACCACACCTAATATAGGCTGTAGTAAGTCTCAAACCCAGGGCCTTAGACCTGCTAGTCAAATCCTCTACCAACTGAGACATACCACCAGACCACTTTCCCCATTTTTGACTTGTTAGGCACCATATAAAGTTTCCATAATTAAAGTGACCCCCCCCACCCCAGTCATCTCAGGCCTTCATCCAATAGTAAAATTTAGTGAGATTTAGTTGTCTGTGACTCTGCCTTCCAGTTCTCAGTTGGGATCTCTAGTGTCTGATACTCTGTTCTTGAAGGCATGTCTTGACTTCTGGGGATGTAACACAGTCGTGGGAATGAGTTACTGTGAAATAATTCTATTTCTTCTGGGCTGTAATATCTCAAGACCATGGTCTCCTTACAAGATATTTAATATGTTCCTTGTGTTTCTCCAATCTTAGGTCACCACACTGGTAAATTGTCCCCAGAATCCTTCCAATAGGAAAAAAGGATGCTCAAAAAAAGCCAGAGTCCTTCTGGCCTCTGTGGAGGAAGCAACTTGGAATTTGTTGGACAAGGGAGAGAAGGTTGCTCAGGAAGCTGCCGTTTTAAAGGAAGAACTGGGAGCTGTGCTTCAGGAAGTTCGCAAAGAGAGTGAGTAGGCTATACAGTCCTGGCCCCAAAGCGAACTGCATGTCCTTAGGGTGTTTGGTACCGACATAGATTTGTGAGTGTTTTGTTTTTGTGAGCTTGTGTTTATTAGCCTTGCACAGAGCTGTGGAGAGCCAGCTGTGGGAGGCAGAGAGGCTCATTAGGCAGCTCCAAGGCTCAGAGTCCCAGTCCTGACTCTTTGTCGGTTGTTCAGGCTCTATAGACAGCTCCCCACCTCCCACCATGCTGCAACTTATCGACAATAAACAAAGAGATGCTTAATGAAGCTGAAGACAGATTTGTCCATACATAAATAAAGTAGAAATTTCCTCATAAACAGTTGGGAGACAGTTTCCTCTCTGATGGCCTCAGAAAAATATGTATTTTTTATTTTTCAGTGTTTTAAAGATTGAGATTTACTGTTTTTTTTTTTTTTTGGTAATGCTTTGCATAAGCCATACACAACTCATACTGCTGCTTTGTATTATATAATAAAATCATATATTTTGCATTTTTATATCTTTGCTATGGTAACAACAATTTTTTTCTGCAGGATATTAAAAAATTAAAACTTAAAAAGTTTTGTGTATGATGTGTTTATGTGGTGTGTGTAGTGTGTGTGTGTGTGTGGTGTGGTGTTTGCATTTGTATGTGTACACTTAGCCATGTGGGTATGTGTGAAGGCCAGAGTTTGATGGTGGGATGTCTTCCTCAGTCACATTTTCTTTTTAAAAAAAATATTTTATTGGGGCTGGAGAGATGGCTCAGTGGTTAAGAATGCTGACTGTTCTTTCAGAAGACCTAGGTTCAAATCCCAGCACCCACATGGCAGCTAACAACTGCCTGTAACTCCAGTTCCAGGGGATCCGACAGCCTCTTCTGTCCTCCGTGGGCATTGCATGACACAGTGCACTTACCTACATGCAGGAAATACACATATAACACATAAAATAAAAATAATAAAATATTAATTAATTAATTTTTATTTTATGTGCATGTGTGTATTACCTGCATGTTTGTAAGTGCATCTAGAGTTGCAGACTGTTGTTAGCTGACATGTGGGTGCTGGAAATCGAACCTAGGTCCTCTGCAAGAGCAGCCAGTGCTCTTAACCATTGAGCCATCTTTCTAGCCCCCATATTATTATTTTTTGGGACAAGGTCTCTCACTGAACCGTGAACTTGCTGTTCTGTCTAGGCTGACTGTCAGCAAGCCCGTGGGTACTGCCTGTCTCAGTCTCCCAGTTCTGGGGTGATAGGCATATACTGCCACACCCAGCTGTTAAAAAATACTTTAATTCCTTAAGAATTTCATATAATGAATTTTGATCATATTTATTCCTCACTCTTCCCCTAACTGCCCAGCTTTCTTAATATGGGTGCTGGGGATCTGAACTCATATCCTCATCATTACTCAGTAAACACTTTACCTACTGAGCCATTTCCCAAGTCCTGCAGGATATTTTATTTTTTTTATTATTATTTTTTAGGACATTCAAAAGGTTTTTTGATTTACTGTTTATAAGTTTCATAAAACAACTAAATATTTTCCATATGCCATTTCTCTCTCTTGAGAACAAAATATCTAAAGCATACACAAAACATATGTAATGCACACACATCTGTATTATAATATGTATATATGCATATGTATTAGTTACTTTTTTTGTTGCTGTGATAGAAATATTGACCAAAGCAACTTATAGAAGGAAGAGTTTATTTGAGCTTCCAGTTCCAAGGGGCAAGAGTGCATCGTCGTGGGAAGGCATAGTAGCAGAGGTGGCTGGAGGAGGAGCGGAAGCTAAGCTCTCACATCGTCATGCAGGCACAGGAAGCAAGAGAGCAACTGGAGATCTGGCAAGGCTTAGGAACTCTCTAAACCTGCCCCCAGTGATGTGCTTCCTCCAGCATAGCCACACCTTTAAGAGCTCTCAAAACAGTGCCACCAACTGGGGACAAAATGTCCAAATACTTGGAGCCTATGGGGGACATTTTCATTCAAACCATCACAGTATATATGTGTATATACACATATATATTTACACACACATAATTTAATTTTTCTGTGTTGCTTCTAATGGAAGAAGATCTTTGGTAAATGTTTCCATAATTAATAATGAACATTTATAAAGCATAGAGTATGTTTCCAGGTGCCAATGCACCCAATTCCTACTGAATAATTCTGAAAGTCTAATATCTGCTGCCTGTGCTTTCCCCTGGATCATCATACCATACCATTCTAGGACCTGTTTCCAAAATAATGTTGGCTAATGGAGTGCTGATTTGTTCTTTACTCAAATAGATTTTTGTCATTCTTTTATGGTCATTTCTTTTTTTTTTTTTTTTTGGTTTTTTTGAGACAGGGTCTCTCTGTAGCCCCAGCTGTCCTGGAACTCATGTAGACCAGGCTGATCTTGAACTCACAAACTCACAGAGATCTGCGTGCCTCTGCCTCCTTAGTGCTGAGATCAAAGGCATGCGCCGCCATGTCTGGCACAGTCATTTCTTTTTAACTTAATGTTTTGTTCCTTTTTTATTGAATTTTTATGATTTTCATACAACATAATTAAAAATTACTTAATTTTCCAATTGAATTTTTGTGGTTTTCATACAACATAGTTTATGGTTAGGCCCCTCCCTCTCTGTACCTCCCTCCACTGCCCACCACCCAATTCAATGTACTCATATTTTTATATCTATATCATCTATATGTAATATAACCTATAGAGTCTGATTGGGGTCCCCCAATGTCCTTCAGTGTGGGTTCATCCACTGGGTCCATCAAGTGTCATTCCTGTAAGTCCCTGTCTCTCCCCCTCCCAGCAGTCATTGTTGCCAAAAGTTCCTTAGGTTGGGTTGGGGTTTCTTACCTGGTTCCCCATGTCTATGCTGGGATTTGTCTGGTTTGAGATTGCATAGGACTTGTGCATGCTGTCCATAAGGAAACAGTCTTCCAGATGGCCGATCAGTTACTCATATGAGCTCCTACAATATAATATGATGGTATTTAGATCCTCTCCCCATCTTCACATCTCCTTATTAAATGTACTTATTAAATGTATTTATATATATGTATATAATATATGTATGTATGTGTATATGTATATAATAAGGTCTATAGCTTCTAAGTTGTGTCTTCAAATGTCCTTCCATGTGGGTCAATCAACTGGAGCCTGGTTAAACTTCCAAGAGTTCCAGGCTTGAAAGAGACTCTTTCTGTCCCTCCCAGGAGCCATTTGTTGATACAGTTTCCTTAGATGGGGTTGGAGCTTCTTATCCATTTCCTCACGTCTATGTTGGGTTTTCTTTTCTGGCTTGAGCTTACATTGGACTTGTGCATGCTGTCACATTGCTGTGTGTTCATATGAGAAACTGACCAGCTGTCAGGAAAACTCTGTTCTCTTGTGGTTGTCGACCATGTCAGGCTCTTACAATCTTTCCACCCCCTCTTCTGCAATGATCCAGGAGCCTTGGTGGGGTGGGGGTGGTAGTGGCAAAAGTTTGATATAGGTGTCCTATTCAGGAGTAAGTACTCTTTCAGAATAGTTTAAAAAGAACCATTCAATGAGTTTTGTCAATGGAATGATACTGTGTTCATTATTTGATGCAACTAACTATTTTGGGAGGGAAAGAAAAGTTGAATTTTCTTGTTTGGCTTTATAAAAAATGTTTGGAATGTCTAAATATTTTTCTTCCCCAACCTCTAGTAAAACTTTAAGAAAATCAGAAGGAGCCAGGCATGGTGGTATTGTAATCCCAGCTCTAGGGAGGCTGTGGTTCAAGGTAGTGAGTTCTATGCCAGCCTGGGCCTGTCATTCATATATATATATATGTATGTATATATATATATATGACATATATAATATTTTCTAATTAGATAATTAAATATATCACAATCAACTTTAAGTCAAATGTTTTCATATTTTGGCTATTATAGATATTACTGCAGTGAACATGGAGATCATCTGGTGTTTTTAATTTTTCAGGAGTTTCTGTAATGGTTTTTCATAAGGAGCACTACTTGCTATATACTTTATAAACAACTTATAGGGACTTTTTTCAGATGACATATAGAAAGCAGGTCAGTTTAGACTCTTCCTTCTTTGCCTACACTTCTAATTTACCTCTAAATTCATCAACTTTTCCTTTCCCTGTCTCTTAGATAGATTCGTTATTTTTGACTCTGCTTCCTGAATTCAGGATTACTGTTTTGGTCTTACCCTAAAGTCAAAGAGATCTTAAAAAAATTTAAATTACATTTATTTATTTATTTATTTACTTATTGTTTATTTATTTTTGTATGTTTGTGTGTGTATGTGTGTGGGTGCATGCATGCCACTGTAAACATGTAGAGGTCAGAGGAGAACTGGCAGTTCTCTCCAGCTATCATGTGGGTTCTGGGGTTTGAATGCAGGTTTTCAGGTTTGGCAACGAGTGTCTTTACCCACTGAGCCATCTTACCAGCTTTCAAATAGATCTTTTAAAAATGAAAATAATGGCTGAGGATGTAGTTCAGTGAAAGAACACAGCACATGCAAAACCCTTGGGTGGATCCATCCACAGCACCAAAAAAAAAAAAAAAAAAAAAAAAAAAAAAAAAAAAAAGATAAATAATGTTGAAAATAATGCTAATATTCCTTTCTTGCTTAAAAAATATTAAGTAGCTGTTGAATGATTGCATCAACTGACTCTCTGGATAGTTTTAACTTTGAAACTCAAAGTATTTCCTACATTAGCTCCCACCACCCTCTCCCATTGCATTTCCTGGCATTGCTGCTGTACCAAACTCTCCTCTAAATAAGACCAATTCGTGGTGTCTTTGAAGCTGACTCTGCTTGCCACCATACCACCAAAACAGATGCACTTGTTGTGTTTTGAACAGTCCACATACTTTATGCCTCTGTATCGGCCATTTCCTTTGTCTGGATTTCCCGGCTCATTCAGCCAGTTTTTACTCAGCAAAGTCCGGCCCGGGTTAGGTTTTACAGGAAGTTCCTGACTCCC